CCGCTGGCGTCCCTGATGATTTGGACACCACTGGACTACAGCTTTACCTGGCTGTCAAACCTTTTATACCCAAAATACCTCAAACCAGCTTTATGTGATTCTACCAGCTTGACTCCAAACATAATCACAGGTTATATTTTGTCACCTTAGAATATTACAAGAAGTCCCAACTTATTTGTTTTTATTTTTTCAAGAAAACTGTAGCAGTCTCCAAACTTTCTTCATAAATTTTCTCATCCATTTTAAAATAAAACTGTACATTTGTTAACATTCATCAGTTTTCTCTGATAGTTATAAACACAAAAAACTTTATACCTCAAGCAAAGTAACATTACCTAAGTCAGCACTGGACAGAGCAGAAATTATACAATGTTACCTTTTTTAAAGTCCTCAGAAGGCGTTCCCTTCCTGAACCTGCAACTCCGATTTCCTCCAGGTCCCCTCCCTGATTGGAGCTTATTTTCAATCTGAACTCCTTCATAAAAAGTTCAAAACGTGTCATTGCACAGTAAATTGGTAAAAATGTTACAGAAATGAAATACGCAAACATTTATTTCCAGATGCCACTTCATTTGTTTCTAAACAACAGTAACAAGATGTAGAAACTATTAGGAGTTTGGTGCGTACCGGACTCTTTTTTTTCTTTCCCTTCATGTTCAGGTCAAACATCAGTTTAAAAACACGGACAGCCTCTTTTTCCTGACCCACCTGGAACAGACAGGAAATAAATGTCTCAGGTGTCAGAATACATGAGGAAAGCTGACCTTTTCTTTTCTATACCTCCATGAGAAACTTGGGGCTCTCTGGCATGAAAAATTTGAAGACGAGTGCTGAAGTGATGCTTGGAACGGAGCACAATGCCACAAACAGCCTCCAGCTCTGGAAGTCCAGGAATCCCAGAGAGATGTGAGTTCTGGGAATCACAATCCAGGCTAGACCTGGAGACAAAAGCTGGATTCAAAGCTCAAAGGAAAGCAGCTTGAGCAAATTTCAAGAAATACGACTTCAGGAATCACAAGAAAGTTCAGTTGAAATGTTGTCTGGAGTGTCAAGGTCTTCACCAGACTTGGAAAGTGAGTGGATTTGTTAAAAAAAGGTTGGTGTTTTTACAGTGTCTTACTTAACTTAGCTTGCTGTATTTATCGTGTGTGCGTGAGTGTTTTTATCACACGAGTCACCGCTTCTGCATCGTTTAAAGAAACTTAATGGTGATGTTTAAAATTTGTGTAAATAAAATATCATCACTATATGCTGGACTGACTGAGAGTGCTTCAGTCCATGGAATTAAATTATGGATTAATCTGGAAGATGACATTAAAAATACCAGATCAACATGTATATTTTAGAGAATGATAAAGGTTAATTTGCTGAAGAAATATGTAAATGTATGAATTGTGGTTCAAGGAGTTTAACTTTTATTATTTTTTCTTTTTAGTAAACTGTAGATTATTTATGATTTTATTTATTGGAGAATAAAAGGCAGATATAATAAGATTTTTTCTTCTTCTACTACCTTTCATTTAATTTGATTTGTATTTTAGTTGAATTTCTGTTGCTGTTTTTAAAGAAATGAAAAAAAAAATGAATAAACTAAACTAAACAGTAGAGCCCGGGAGCAGAGCGTTGTATATGACCGAGGTTAGCATAGATCAGTGTTTCCCAAAGTTGGGGTCGGGACCCAAAGTGGGGTCCTGAAACATCAAGGTGGGGT